GACAAAGAGGGTGACGTGTCCCGGCCGGGGCTCGGGCAGGCGGGCGCGCTTTGCTAAAGGCATGTTTAACGCAGTTATATTTTGCACTCTACAGCACGCTAAGCCTACGCGCGGCTGGACCTTCCCAGCGCGGAAGCACCTCTGGCTATACGCTTCGTGTTGATAAGCGTTTCTGTGAGACGGCAAAAAACGCTCTCCCGCGTCCCGCGTGACAGGCCGCCAGGGCAAGCGCTCAACCAGGCGCCGGGTCCCCACCTGCGCCCTCAGGTTGCTCCGAAACCTCGGCCCCAAGGGCAGCCTCCCGCTGGCTGCCTGCACCTCCCCGCGCCGGGGTTAGCAGCAGGGAGGAACTGTCGGCCTTTCTAAGGGCTGTCGTCGTTTCCCAGCCGCTTTTAAACCTGCCCTTGGAAGGGGTGGCGAGGTGGTGCCAGCATGGCAAAAGCATCTGAGCTCTGTCCAGATGCAAAACGTTACTTCAAGTCACCGGTTCGTCTCTGCGCTGCTGCCCGGGCCACGGCAGCCCGCCCAGACCTTGAGAGTCAGGACACGACGGGAAAGCGCAGTTTTGGAAGCACTTAGCGACTTCATTAGAGGGGCAGGTGCTGAGCGCTCGCTCAGCCCGGGACCAGGAGCATTTCAAGGTGGTGGAAAGACTGATGTGGTCAGATCCTTGGGAGAATTTGGGGTTGACTCTGCAGGTCCCAGATCTTGCCGGGGGGGAGAGCGCACAGGAGGGCATGCAGGACGCTTGCATTTTCGAAGACCGGCGAGCACCCAGGGTGCCGTGCAGCCGAAAGACTGACTCGCAGGTGCAGCGTTTACAGGTGTAGGCACCCGCAGAGCGCTGCGAGTGCCAAGGGCGACACGCGGGTGGAAGAGCTCGTGGGAGTCGGGCAACGGTGGGGAACTGGCTGCTAAAAGGCACGTGGCTGTGACGCAGGGCAGCTCCTGGCCTGAGCCGTTCTGGCTGTCTGAAGATCTCGCAGGGAGAAGCAATGCCCGCACGGCTTTGCTGCGATGTTGGGAGCGAGGGGTTCCTCTGACCCAGGGAGCCGGGCATCAGGGAGCTCTCCCCGAGCCTGAGGATCTCCCTTGGCCGGGAGCTGCGGGGACCCTGCCCATAACCGGCACGAAACCCAGCGCCGATCACAGCCAGGGGAACGCTTCCCCCTGCCTCCATCTCTGCTCCAGGCATTGGTCTGTCCTGCCCATGGATGGGTGGATGGGTGGGTGGTGGATGGATAGGTGATGGGCGGATGGATGGATGGATGGGTGGGTGGTGGATGGATGGATGGATGGGTGAGCGGTGGATGGATGGATGGATGGATGGGTGGTGGGTGGATCAGTGATGGATGGAAGGGCGGATGGTGTGGTTGCAGAGCTGGAGATTCAGAGGGCCCCACTCATGCTAGACCTGTGCTTTGAAAGGCCGCTCGGGTCAGGGGACGAGAGAGTGAGTCTGACCTTGGAGCAGATCTGGCCCCACAACCTTGTTCCCACTGGAGTTGCCCCAGCTCGGGTAAGGTCACTGCCCCCGGCACTTCCAACCTCCGTCAGCGCTGCCGCAACGGGCAAAACAAAGCCCGGGGTACGTCTGTGGCCTCCTGTGACGCAGGGCCACGCAAGCACCCCCGGGCTCCCACGCTGACGCCTCCCTGCGAGACGCGGCCGCCCACGCACAAGCAGCTCCGCGCGGGGGAGAGACGGGGCTCAACGTGAGTCAGGGCCGGGCCGAGCGCTGGGAACCGCAGGGCAGCGCTTACCGCCGGCTCGGCCACGGCCCGGGGCGGGGGACCGCGGCCCG